TCTCCTCTTCCCTCAACCTCTCGAATCTCTCCTCATCTTCCATTGGTTAGTTCTTAAGCATCTCCTTGCATCCTCTCTTATCTCCCTTCTTTGTGAAGCTGCTTGCTTCCTTCACCTCTCAACATCTTACTGTTGCTTCTTGAAGTTGGGTTCCTGAAATGCATCAAAAACTCAAAGAATTAGAGTTGTAATGATTGGTTCGGCCAACTCGACACTCAGCTCGATCGAGTCAAAAAACTCGAGTGACAAACTCGATCGAGCTAGGTGAAAACAGAGTATAACCGAACCTAATTCAAGTATTAAGAGCTGGAAAGGATGCTAATCAATCAAATTGAACCAAGAACAACTAAGTTAATGGAACAATAGCAATTCTAGTGAAAACCAAAGCATCTTAACCAATACCAAACTCAAATTCAATTTTTCAAGACATGCAACAAGTTCTAATGGAAAACAGAGGTGAGGTGAGGCAAATTCACAAGATATAGCAGAGAAGATATGAAAGCAATTACTCAAGATAAGTCCCAAAGGGACACATGCAATCAAAAATCAAAGAGAGAACAAGCAATAATGAGAAATCGAGATGAAGGATCAAGGGTTTTAGGGTTCATACCTTGTTGAATGATGAATTGAAGAATCAGTAAACTAGAACCCAAAGCAAAACAAGATGATGAACAATGAAATCGCAAAAACTTAAGAGAGAGAGAAATCGATTTTTCTTGTGGTGAAGAGAGAGAGAGATTTCAGAAAATTTAGAGTGTGGGAGAGTGGAGAAGTGGATTCGATCGAGTTATGGGGAAGAGGGAGTGTTTGAGATGTGTGGTTGAGATTAAAAGGTGAAATAAAGAGGGGACAAAAGGCAAGGGTTTTCTGATCAATTAGGAAGTGGGGGACCAAAATTAACTTGTGGGACCCACTCCCTTGACCAAGAAAACGGTTAGAATTTGAAATTCAAAACTTACCTTGGTCGAGTTGTGGAACTCGATCGAGTTGCCCTGGTTTCTAGCTCGATCGAGCTGTCGGTCGAGCTGGCTTCCTTTGTCACCTAAACTTAACTTATTGAAGGTTAAAGACACGAAAATAGATAGAAATTGCATAAATAGAATATGTACAAGGATAAACATGGGACTTCCTCCCAAGTGAGCTTGTTTAAGGTCCCATAGCTTGACCTTTACCTTCTTAGGCATTGGTTGAGCTAGTCCCACCATCAAGGGTGATAGTGAGGACTTGAGACAGAAGCTCCTTTAGCTTGGTTGGGTCCCTGGACTGTTCTGAAGTCACCAAGGCTTTGGCTCTAGAGAATGGCCTTGATCTCCCCTTGTACCTTATCTTGTACTCAATCTTCCCATTTTCAAACTTGGTGGGGAACAAAGTCATTGTGAGCTGAGATGGCTTGAATGAAGGGGCCTGAGCTGGTGGATCCTTTCTTTTATCACCTGGTCTTGCCTTAGAGGCTACATCCTCCCCTTCTTTTAGAGCCCTTCCTAGTGGCTCATCAAACAAAGCTTGAAGGCTTTCTTCATCAAGCACACAAGGGGCTTGAACAAGTCTATCAGCTCGTGGTCTATCAGAACTGAAGAGTGGCTTCTCACCTTGGTCCTCTCTCAATTGTGGCACAAAAGTCTGAACCTCTAGGCTGCAAGCGATATGACACCAAACTATTCACCTTGTGAAGGATCACTTCTTGCTTGTGAAAGTCTATTGAAGCGCCAACTGTACTAAGGAATGGGGTTCCCAATAACAGAGGTAGATCCTTCTCTTCTTCCATTTCCATCACAGTGAGATCAGTTTGGATGATGCATTCTCCAATTTTCAAGTGATAGTTCTTGAACACTCCAAGAGGAGACTTAGAAGTTGCATCTCCAAACATGATTGAAGTAGTAGGGCGCTGCAAGGCTCCAGCAATGCCTAGCTTCTCTGCCATGGAGAGAGAGATCAGATTGATGCTTGCTCCAGAATCCACTAAGGCATTGTCAAGCTCAAGATGCCCAAGTGTGCAAGGGAGAGTGAATTTCCCTTGATCCTTGACCTTTGGTAGGAAGGTGGGTGAAGTAAGCAGGTTGAACTGATGAGTAGACTCTTGTAGGACCTCTGAAACTTTATCACTGTTGGCTAGAACATCCTTGACCATTTGCATTTGATCAAATGCCTCACTCATGCTATCCATAGGAGGCAACTCAATTCCAATCCCACTGAGATCTCTTCTGAACTTGTGAATCACTTCCTTGTGACCTTGACTAAGTAGGCGAGACGAGGAAGCGGCAACCGGTTGGTAAGGATCAAGCAAAAGGCTTTGGACAGAAGAGGTCGGACTCGATCGAGCTAGAGTTGACTCGATCGAGCTGCCGATCGAGCTTGTTGTGCGAGCTCAACTGGTGAAGTGTGAATGGCCACAGTAGGTGCCTGCACTTCTGGTTGATCAATCTGGACTCCAGGAGCCTCAGCAGCAACAATCTCTTCATCATTCAGCAGTAAACAAAAATCTTCAATGACCCTTTCTTGATCCTCTTCTTCAACAAGTCCTTCTTGAGTGAAGATGACCTTGCACTGTTCCTTGGGGTTCTGAATAGCTTTACCAGGTAGTTGTCCTTGCTTTGTAGCAGCAGCAACAGAAGAAGCATGATTCTCCAGAGAGTAAACCCTTGTGTTGAGGTTCTCGATCTTAGAGTTTATTTCAGCTAGCTTCTTGCTTGTGTCCACTACCCCATCAGCTTGCCCTTGAAGTAGTTGCTTTAGCATTGCCTTGAGCTCATTCTCTTGTGAAGGTGCAGGCTGGGGCGGTTGGTGGGGGAAGCCTGGTGGGATATTCATTTGTTGTCCAGGGAAAGTGCCTTGTGGTCCTTGGTAATTGTTCTTTTGACCATACCCATGTTGTGGCACCTGACTCGATCGAGCTGCTTGTTGTTGAGGATATACTTGGTCCTGAGGGTTAGCAACATCAGTGTTGCGGTATGACATGGCAGGGTTGGACTTGTAATTATAGTATCCTTTGTTGTAACCTCCTTGCCCATTGCTCATGTAGCACACCTCAGCAAATTGTGTATCCTCCCCTTCTTGGACTGGTTCCATCTCCTCAGCAGACACAAAGTTGACTTTCTTCATTGGACTGAGCTAGGATCAGCTTAAGATCAGCTTATCCAACTTCTCATTCAATGCCTTAACATCTTTTCTCAACTTTTCGTCTGACTCGATCGAGTGGTGGGTCGAGCTCCGATTGGTGCGATCATACTCTTCTCCATAGCTTCCATTTGAGTTAGCTATGTTCTCCACAAGTTGCCAGCCATCATCTACATCCTGGTTGAGGAAGTTCCCATTGCTAGCTGTGTCTAGCATCTCCCTATACCTAGGCAAGCATCCTCTATAAAGAGTGGAGAGTAGTGATTCATTGTTGAATCCATGGTGTGGGCACTGACTTGTGTAGCCTTTGAACCTCTCCCAAGCCTCTGCGAATGTCTCATTGTTTCGCTGGATGAAGCTGGATATCTCTCCTCTAAGCTTGGCTGTGCGACCGGTGGAGAAAAACTTAGCAAGAAAGGCCTTCTTGCATTCATCCCAAGTGGTGATTGTGCCATGGGGCAAGCTCTTCTCCCATCCCATACGCCAAGTCCTTCCATACTGCTTTATTTACTTCCTGCATTGCATTTCATTTCGTTAGGTTGTTACTGTTACCCCATATCTATTACTGCTTGCTTGACTTCCTTGTTTTCATATTCTCATAGAGTGACAAGTTTCTCCCATTTTGGATTGATACCCTTTATGCTATAACAACTATCATGGTTAAAGGGAATTGTTGACTGTGTTTGTGTTTGCATCTTACCACCTCATCATTTACCACTGTTGCATTCCACCACATCTCATTTCATATCATTTCACATCCACACACAAATCCTATCATCAATTTGGCGCCGTTGCCGATTTGGGATTATTTTGTTGCATTTGAGTTTCAAATACACTTGGACGATCAAGCTATACCACCCCTGTTCTATTGTACTGCTGGGTTTTTGTCTCTTTTTGCAGGTGTATGCGAACTCGATCGAGTCGGTCTACAGAGGACTTGGTCGAGCTAGACTTTACAACGGGTAGAAAGAGGGTTCAGAGGTCACAGAGGGTACAAGAGGAACCTGAGGTGCTTGTTGCTGATACAATGGACGTACCAGAAGGGGAATGGAAACCCTTTGGGCAATGGACTCGGTCGAGCTAGGCAAACTCGACCGATTGGTCTAGGAGATGCTCCAAACCGCCACCAACAGAGACAAGGGATTGTTCCACCACCAGTGCAGAACCACAACTTTGAGATCAAGCTGGGAATGATCAACCTTGTTCAGAACAAGATGTTCCATGGATTGCCAAGTGAAGACCCCATTGACCACCTTGATGAGTTTGATAGGCTTTGCGATTTGACAAAGATCAATGGTGTCTCTGAAGATGCCATCAAGCTGAGACTCTTTCCTATGTCTCTAGCTGACAAAGCTCACCAATGGGAGAAGAGCTTGCCCCATGGCACAATCACCACTTGGGATGAATGCAGGAACGCATGTTCCGCGCTCGGCCAAAGTTGCGTCCGTCCGACTGAAGTCTCGGCCAAAGTCCAAAACCACTCGGCCGATCACGCATCACGACCCGGGAAACTTGCCCGCGGTCGGCCAAGCCACAACGCCACGCCACCGCGCACGACCAAAGCGCGCGAGCCGGGAAAAAGCCTCGCGGCCGCGCAACCGTTCGCGTACCACGCCGATGCATCCGTCCGAGCCGGGAGAACGCCCACGTCCGGCCGAGAGATTTCATCGGCCAAACTCATCCGCTCGACCACGCCGACCGACCGTGAATCCGTCCGACCCCGACCGTTCCGACTCGGCCACACCCGATTGTCCGGCCGATCGTCCCGCACGACCGTCCCAACGCCGCGGTCGACCCGAAGCCCTTTTTGAAGCCCAAACTTATGTTTTCAAGCCCGGCTTAACCCTAAGCCGCCTCTAGAAAGACCTAGCACTATATATATGGATTTTTAGCCTCTTGAGAAAGAGAGCCGCCCTGTATTTCGATTTCCTACTCTAAGTTTTATTGCAATCATGTTTTCTTCATCTCTATGTGTGTTTGCTTTGATCATGTCTGAGTAATCCACTAGTTAGGTTGCTAGGGTTACTATTCAATGAGTTGCTTGCATGATCTTTGATTTCAATGATTAGCTAGGGATTATATTAGAGTCTTTGTCTCGTCTTGTGCACTTAACTAATGCTGATTGCTTTACCGCGCATCTAGTAATCCGATCTTAGGTTGATTTGAGCCTCGACAGTGCTGTATCATTCGCCGGACATATTCTTTGACAAGCTAGGTTTCTTAGACTGCGAAAGTTGATCTATCTATATCTAGTGAACTGTATCAGAACCTATTCATTCTAATGCTTGATCTAATCACCTAGGGACATACCAAAAGTTTAGCGACTAGGTAGATTAGCAAAGGAGCCGGAGCCTCGAAAGTGGAATGGTTTTATATTCGTGATCTGTGTTCTAGATGGTTCTTAATATCCCAATATCCCTAATCAATTAATCTATCATTGTTTCATTGATCATTGCTTGCTTCTCTGCGATAGCCCCTATGACCTAGCGCTTTTCCTTTATTGCTTACAACCTCGTTATACTTGCTAGTTCGGTTCACCATTACAACCTCAATCATACTTTTGTTTTAGCTTGATCCAAAATCCATAGTTACAAAGTGTACTCAATAGCCAGTCCTTGTGTTCGATACCCATACTTCCGCGATCTGTGCACTTGCAGAGGTCTAGGAGTTTGGTAAAACCTGACTCCGCATCAGAGGGCTCATCACTCCTATCTTGTGTGCTGCAGGAGTGAACCCAACTGATAAGAGAGCCAATGAACCAGGTTTGATGGACATCAAGTTTTGCAAGACCAACCTCCTCATTGAGCACAAGGAGTTGGATGGGAGGTTCCAATTCAAGTTCACACATCCATTGGTTGGACCTTCCAAGTTTCTCCTGCCCAACCCTGAGCTTACCACAGTAGTCAGGGGTGAGAACATTGACTTTAGACCCCCTGTATACACATTGGTTGGGCAAGAGAACGTTTTGCGAGAAGAGGAGCCTGAACTCGATCGAGCTGAGGATCGAGTTGAGTCTCAAGCTGAGGATCGAGTCCAGGAGAGTGCGGATTTGGGTGAGCCTGAGTGCTACTATTTTGAGGAGTATGAGGGTCCAAGAATGAACCCCTCTGTTGTGGCTGCCCACAAGAGGATTGGACTCCTCCAAAAGTTCAACAAATGGCAAGGGAAGGCCATTGAAAAGATGCAAAAGTCCATGGAAAAGATGGTGAGCAAGATCAAAAGTTTGGAGAAGAAGGTTTCTGGTTCTTCAATCAAGAAGAAGAAGGCTCCCATGAGTTCCACATTCCTTAGGAGTATATCCCTTCTCACCACTCCAAGGAGGCTCCCTGCCCAAGAACCTCATAGAGCCTCTTCATTCGAGCCAAGGGAGGGAGAAGACAACTCTCAGAGAAGGAGGAAGAGCTCTAAGGCCAGACGCTCCAGCTCGACCACCGGACTCGATCGAGTCCAAACAGAGGAAACTCAACTAGGTCGAGCTGACGGTCGAGTTGGTCTTGAGGAGCCACAGTTTGAGGATCCTGGATTGAGCAGCAAGAACCATGTTTATCTTGATCATATCACTGCATGCACATCTCATTCAACCATTGCTGTGATTTGATGCATTTCCCTATCTATTTGAACCATAACTTGATCTTTAATTACCAATGCTTGCATTTGATTTCAACTCATGGCTACCACATACATATCTGGACATTCTTTACCTATTTTCATATCCCTCTTGCTTGTCCAGATAGCTGATCTCTATCTTTGAGACAGTTACCACACCTTAAACCTAAGCCTTTTCATTTCAAACCCCTATTATCTCTTGTGCGAATTGTGAGAACCTTTCTTGGCTTTGCTTAGCATAAGGTGTTGTGTTTAAACCGGCAGGGGCAGTAGTTCTAGTTGTCTAGTTCTCTTGGGATTGTTTTCAGGCTAAGTTTGGGGGTGCCAACTCGAGCTCGATCGAGTTGGGTGTCAAAAACCAGAAAAGTGGTAAAAGTTGGGAAAAACCAAAGGAAAAAGAGTTTAGTTAAGTCCAGGGAGTTGGCAGTGTTAAAAAGGGTCTAGTAAAGGTTTGGGAAGTTAAAAAAGGAAGTAAAAAGGGTTCTAAGTAGAATGAAAAGAAGGCAAAGCCTCAAGTGTCAAAAAGGAAAGAAAAGTTCCCTAAGTGTTTAGAAAATCCCAAACCGCTAGATGTTACCTCAAGAAGCCTCTCCCTAGGAAGTTCTTAAAAGAAAAGTGAGCAAAGCTCCTCAGTTTCAAAGGCGAAATGCCAAAAAGGGTAGTTAGGATTTTGTTCTAAAAAGCTCTAAGTGTTGAACTCGATCGAGTTAGGATTAGACGGCTCGAGCTGCTGTTCTTGCATCATCTTTGGTTCTAACACTTAGCCTTCTGCCAAAGCAAAGCCACTTTCTTGAGAGATCCCTGTTACTAAACCACCATACAAAAGAGACCCTCTTTGTCTCTTAACCCATAAACCCTTGAAACCAAATGAGTTGATTGATCTTGCATGTTTTTGGTTCACTGTTTTTGCTTAATGAATGTTAAAGGGATTTGCTGATTTGAATGCATTGTTTGAGTGACTGTGAAGTGGGATTGATGTTGATAAGCATGGTTAAATCTTAATGAATATCTCTCACCTTGTTGCATTCTAGAATCTCTAAGTTGGACATTTAGCAAATCGCTTTTGAGGACATGTTTTTAAGTGTTGAATCAGCTTTTTTCAAACCTCATCTCTTTCTTGTTCTATTTGTTTGCTTGAGGGCAAGCAAAGTTCAAGTTTGGGGGTGTTGATGTACTTGCATTTTACATAGTTTTAGTACATCTTTTATGCATCTTTTGCATAGTTTTAGCATCCATTTGCATCATATCTTGTTCCTTTTCTCTTCTTATGCATTCATGTAGTTTTAGGTTGCATTTGCATACATATGCATGTTTGGTCCTTTGAAATAGGTCTTTTGGAGCATTCTGGAGCATATGGGACGTGAGGAGCATGGAGGGACTTGGCACATGGACGCAGCTCAACTGGATACGCAAAGGAAGAAGGGAGAAGCCATCTTGAAGACCAGCTCGACCGTCTACTCGACCAACCGGTCGAGTTCCTCAACTCGACCGGCCAAGCTTCAACTCGATCGAGCTGAGAAGTCAAAGTCAAACCCGAAAAATGTTGCTTCCCCCTTGACTTCCTTTGACCCTAAACCTAATCCTCTTTGTATTTAAAGGCTAAAAGCCACGAAAAAACCACCAAGCTTTAGATTACTTTTGTTTTAGTTTCTTTTAATTTATTGTCTTTTACTTTTTAGAGCTCTAATCCCATCTTTGTGTTCTTGAAGCTCTTGCTTCTTGAATCCTAGATCCTGGATAATCTCTTTGTATTTGCACTTGCTTATTTCAATAAAAGTTGTTTATTTCATCTCCTCTTTCTTATGATGTCTCTTTTATTGCATTTGCTTGTGTTTACATTCATGTGTAGTGAGTAGTTACCCATTAGGGTTTGAGATGGGATAGATTAGAGGTTTCATATGCTTAATCCTTCTAGCTTATGGTCTTAATCTAGATTCTCTCTCTTTTGGATAATCTTAAGGCTACATGACCACTACCCCTGGCTTGTAAGTCCTTAGGCGATTCTCCACATGGAAGTGATGGCAAATCGCTGGAAAAGATCCACTAAGAGCTCCAATATCTCTTGCTCTAGAAATGAGGTCTAAGGGGTTGGATGGATTAGTTTGGGCAATGATCCTATGGCCTCCAAGGTTTGATTCTCACTGGCTAACCCCCTGTTTCTGAGATCATTCCTTGGTTGATAGCCTCACCTTGGGAAAGGGTTGGCTAGGCATTGAGAAGCCCAATATCAAGAGAAGCCTTGATACAAGGAGTTTTAAGAGCAGATTGATTAAGTGTAGCTTCCTGATTGCAAAACCCTGTCTTGAACCCTAATTCTCTCTTAGCTTGTTAAAGTCGTCCCTTTATTGCTTTTCTCAACTCGACCCTAAACTCGATCGAGCTGGTACTCTGTTCCACTCGACTCGAGTCCTTGGTCGAGCTGTTGCTTACTGCTTTATTTACTTTGCATTGCATTTCATTTTTAGGTTGTTAGTGTTACCAAATATTACTGCTTGCTTGACTTCCTTGTTTCATATTCTCATAGAGTGACAAGTTTCCCCATTTTGGATTGATAACCCTTTATGCTATAACAACTATCATGGTTAAAGGGAATTGTTGACTGTGTTTGTGTTTGCATCTTACCACCTCATCATTACCACTGTTGCATTCCACCACATCTCATTTCATATCTTTCACACCACACACAAATCCTATCATCAACATATCTCAGCACTGGGCTCCTGATTTGAGCAGCTTTTGACCTTGAAGAAGAGTATCCCTCTTCAGCGATTGTAGCCCATACCCTTTGTAGCTCATCCTCCTTGATATCCCAATGGGTTCCCTCTCCATAGTGAAACCAAAGGATCTCCAACTGCCTGAAGGTCACCTTCCTTTCTCCCCTTGCCAAGAACGTGATCCATCCCCAACCTTGATCCAACTCAGCTCGATCGAGCTGCCTTGTACTTGTGGAACCTCATTGATGCCAAAAACTCACAAGTGAGCTCCTTGTATGACTCCAAGCGGTAAGAGAAGAACTTGGCCAAGCGCATGTTCTTGAGGACCAGCTCCACATCCTCAAAGATCCCAAGAGCCCTCATTGTGTCATCATGTGGGTACTTGGTCTCCACAAAGTCCATGGAGAAGAGAGCATCATAGTGCTCTTGGTACATGGGGAGCTCATCCTCTTCTTCCTCTGACTCCTCCTCTTCCATGGGCACATTCTCATTGCTCTCATGCTCACTCTCCTCAACTCTTGATTCACCTCTTCTCCTTCCTCTTGGAGACTCATCACTCTCTTCCCTTCATGTTCACCAATCTCAAACTCTCCCTTCACTCTCACTGCTGAGGGTCATTCCTCTCTTGGTCCTTCTCTCTTCCCTCAACCTCTCAATCTCTTCCTCATCTTCCTTGGTTAGTGTCTTAAGTATTCTCCTTGCTCCTCTCGTTATCTCCCTCTTTGTGAACGCTGCCTTGCTTCCTTCACCTCTCAACATCTTAAACTGGTTGCTTCTTGAAGTTGGGTTCCTGAAATGCATCAAAAACTCAAGGAATTAGAGTTGTAATCGTTGGTTCGGCCAACTCGACACTCAGCTCGATCGAGTCAAAAAACTCGAGTGACAAACTCGATTGAGTTAAGGAAAACAGAGTAACCGAACCTATCAAACAATAAGAGCTGGAAAGGATGCTTAATCAATCAAATTGAACCAAGAACAACAAGTAAATGGAACAATAAGCAATTCTAGTGAAAACCAAAGCATCTTAACCAATACCAAACTCAAATTCAATTTCAAGACATGCAACAAGTTCTAATGGAAAAACAGAGGTGAGGTGAGGCAAATTCACAAAACTATAAACATGAGATGATATGAAAGCAATTACTCAAGAATAACCCACAAGGGGCACATGCAATCAAAAATCAAAGAGAAACAAGCAATAATGAGAAATCGAGATGAAGGATCAAGGGTTTAGGGTTCATACCTTGCTTGAATGATGGATTGAAGAACAGTAAGCTAGAACTAAACATGAGAGAACAAAGAGAAATCGCAAAAACTTAAGAGAGAGATTGAAACTCGATTTTTCTTGTGGTGAAGAGAGAGAGGGATGATTTTCAGAATTTTTAGAGTGTGGGAGAGTGGAGAAGTGGGTTCGATCGAGTTATGGGGAAGAGGGAGTGTTTGAGATGTGTGGTTGAGATTAAAAGGTGAATAAAGAGGGGACAAAAGGCAAGGGTTTTCTGATCGATTTCAGGAAGTGGGGGACCAAAATTAACTTGTGGGACCCACTCCCTTGACCAAGGAAACGGTTGGAAATTTGAATTTTGAAAACTTACCTTGGTCGAGTTGTGGAACTCGATCGAGTTGCCCTGTTTCTAGCTCGATCGAGTCGGTCGAGCTTCCTTTGTCACCTAAACTTAACTTATTGAAAGGTTAAAGACATAAAATAGATAGAAATTGCAAAATAGAATATGTACAAGGATAAACATGGGACTTCCTCCCAAGTGAGCTTGTTTAAGGTCCCATAGCTTGACCTTTACCTTCTTAGGCATTGGTTGAGCTAGTCCCACCATCAAGGGTGATAGTGAGGACTTGAGACAGAAGCTCCTTTAGCTTGGTTGGGTCCCTGGATTGTTCTGAAGTCACCAAGGCCTTGGCTCTAGAGAATGGCCTTGATCTCCCCTTGTACCTTATCTTGTACTCAATCTTCCCATTTTCAAACTTGGTGGGGAACAAAGTCATTGTGAGCTGAGATGGCTTGATGAAGGGGCCTGAGCTGGTGGATCCTTTCTTTTATCACCTGGTCTTGCCTTAGAGGCTACATCCTCCCCTTCTTTTAGAGCCCTTCCTAGTGGCTCATCAAACAAAGCTTGAAGGCTCTCTTCATCAAGCACACAAGGGGCTTGAACAAGTCTCAGCTCGTGGCCTATCAGAACGTGGTTTCTCAACTCTAGCCCTCTCAAGACGTGGCTTCTCAATCCTTGGTCCTCTCTCAACCTTATCCTTCCCAACTCTTGGTTCTTTGTCAACCCTTTCCTTCACAACCTTTGTAGCTTCATGAGTCTTAGAACTGAGAGTGGTACTGTCAATTGTGGCACAAAAGTCTGAACCTCTAGGCTGCAAGCGATATGACACCAAACTATTCACCTTGTGAAGATCACTTCTTGCTTGTGAAAGTCTATTGAAGCGCCAACTGTACTAAGGAATGGGGTTCCCAATAACAGAGGTAGATCCTTCTCTTCTTCCATTTCCATCACAGTGAGATCAGTTTGGATGATGCATTCTCCAATTTTCAAGTGATAGTTCTTGAACACTCCAAGAGGAGACTTAGAAGTTGCATCTCCAAACATGATTGAAGTAGTAGGGCGCTGCAAGGCTCCAGCAATGCCTAGCTTCTCTGCCATGAGAGAGAGATCAGATTGATGCTTGCTCCAGAATCCACAAGGCATTGTCAAGCTCAAGATGCCCAAGTGTGCAAGGGAGAGTGAATTTCCCTTGATCCTTGACCTTTGGTAGGAAAGTGGGTGAAGTAAGCAGGTTGAACTGATGAGTAGACTCCTTCAGGACCTCTGAAACTTTATCACTGTTGGCCAGAACATCCTTGACCATTTGCATTTGATCAAATGCCTCACTCATGCTATCCATAGGAGGCAACTCAATTCCAATCCCACTGAGATCTCTTCTGAACTTGTGAATCACTTCCTTGTGACCTTGACTAAGTAGGCGAGACGAGGAAGTGCAACCGGTTGGTAAGGATCAAGCAAAAGGTTTCGGACAGAGAGGTCGGACTCGATCGAGCTAGAGTTCGACTCGATCGAGCTGCCGATCGAGCTTGTTGTGCGAGCTCAACTGGTGAAGTGTGAATGGCCACAGTAGGTGCCTGCACTTCTGGTTGATCAATCTGGACTCCAGGAGCCTCAGCAGCAACAATCTCTTCATCATTCAGCAGTAAACAAAAATCTTCAATGACTCTTCTTGATCCTCTTCTTCAACAAGTCCTTCTTGAGTGAAGATGACCTTGCACTGTTCCTTGGGGTTCTGAATAGCTTTACCAGGTAGTTGTCCTTGCTTTGTAGCAGCAGCAACAGAAGAAGCATGATTCTCCAGAGAGTAAACCCTTGTGTTGAGATTCTCGATCTTGGAGTTTATTTCAGCTAGCTTCTTGCTTGTGTCCACTACACCATCAGCTTGCCCTTGAAGTAGTTGTTTCAGCATTGCCTTGAGCTCATTCTCTTGTGAAGGTGCAGGCTGGGGTGGTTGGTGGGGAAAGCCTGGTGGGTATATTCATTTGTTGTCCAGGGAAAGTCCCTTGGGTCCTTGGTAATTGTTCTTTTGACCATACCCATGTTGTGGGGCTTGACTCGATCGAGCTTGCTGTTGTTGAGGATAGACTTGGTCCTGAGGGTTAGCAACATCAGTGTTGCGGTATGACATGGCAGGGTTGGACTTGTAATTATAGTATCCTTTGTTGTAACCTCCTTGCCCATTGCTCATGTAGCACACTCAGCAAATTGTGTATCCTCCCCTTCTTGGACTGGTTCCATCTCTTCAGCAGACACAAAGTTGACTTTCTTCATTGTGGACTGAGCTAGGATCAGCTTATCCAACTTCTCATTCAATGCCTTAACATCTTTTCTCAACTTTTCATCTGACTCGATCGAGTGGTGGGTCGAGCTCCGATTGGTGCGATCATACTCTTCTCCATAGCTTCCATTGGAGTTTAGCTATGTTCTCCACAAGTTGCCAGCCATCATCTACATCCTGGTTGAGGAAGTTCCCATTGCTAGCTGTGTCTAGCATCTCCCTATACCTAGGCAAGCATCCTCTATAAAGAGTGGAGAGTAGTGATTCATTGTTGAATCCATGGTGTGGGCACTGACTTGTGTAGCCTTTGAACCTCTCCCAAGCCTCTGCGAATGTCTCATTGTTTCGCTGGATGAAGCTGGATATCTCGCTCCTAAGCTTGAATGTCTCATTCCCCTCTGGGACGTCCATTGTATCGGCAACAAGCACCTCAGGTTCCTCTTGTACCCTCTGTGACCTCTGAACCCTCTTTTTACCCGTTGTAAAGTCTAGCTCGACCAGTCCTCTGTACCCTCTTGTCTCAACAAGCACCCAGGCGTACTGAACTGTGAAGTCTAGCTCGACCAAGTCTTCTGTAGACCGACTCGATCGAGTTCGCATACACCTGCAAAAAGAGACAAAAACCCAGCAGTACAATAGAACAGGGGTGGTATAGCTTGATCGTCCAAGTGTGTTTGAAACTCAAATGCAACAAAAATATCCCAAATCGGCAACGGCGCCAAATTGATGATAGGATTTGTGTGTGGTGTGAAAGATATGAAATGAGATGTGGTGGAATGCAACAGTGGTATATGATGAGGTGGTAAGATGCAAACACAAACACAGTCAACAATTCCCTTTAACCATGATAGTTGTTATAGCATAAAGGGTTATCAATCCAAAATGGGAAACTTGTCACTCTATGAGAATATGAAACAACCAGGAAGTCAAGCAAGCAGTATAGATTGGTAACACTAACAACCTAAATAAAATGAAATGAAATGCAATAAAAGTAAATAAAGCAGTGAGCAACAGCTCGACCAAGGACTCGAGTCGAGTGGAACAGAGTACCGAGCTCGATCGAGTTTAGGGTCGAGTTGAGAAAAGCAATAAAGGCAGCGACTTTAACAAGCTAAGAGAGAATTAGGGTTCAAGACAGGGTTTTGCAATCAAAGGAATCTACACTTAATCAATCTGCTCTTAAAACTCCTTGTATCAAGGCTTCTCTTGATATTGGGCTTCTCAATGCCTAGCCAACCCTTTCCCAAGGTGGAGGCTATCAACCAAGGAATGATCTCAGAAACAGGGGGTTAGCCAGTGAGAATCAAACCTTGGAGGCCATAGGATCATTGCCCAAACTAATCCATCCAACCCCTTAACCCATTTCTAGAGCAAGAGATATTGGAGCTCTTAGTGGATCTTTTCCAGCGAATTTCCATCACTTCCATGTGGAGAATCGCCTAAGGACTTACAAGCCAGGGGTAGTGGTCATGTAGCCTTAAGATCTATCCAAAAGAGAGAGAATCTAGATTAAGACCATAAGCAAGAAGGATTAAGCATATGAAACCCTAATCTATCCCATCTCAAACCCTAATGGGTAACTACTCACTACACATGAATGTAAACACAAGCAAATGCAATGAAATAAGACATCATAAGAAAGAGGAGATGAAATAAACAACTTTTATTGAAATAAGCAAGTGCAAATACAAAGAGATTATCCAGGATCTAGGATTCAAGAAGCAAGAGCTTCAAGAACACAAAGATGGGATTAGAGCTCTAAAAAGTAAAAGACAATAATTAAAAGAAACTAAAACAAAAGTAATCTAAAGCTTGGTGGTTTTTTCGTGGCTTTTAGCCTTTAAATACAAGAGGATTTAGGTTTAGGGTCAAAGGAAAGTCAAGGGGGAAGCAACATTTTTCGGGTTTGACTTTGACTTCCAGCTCGATCGAGTTGAAGCTTGGCCGGTCGAGTTGAGGAACTCGACCGGTTGGTCGAGTAGACGGTCGAGCTGGTCTTCAAGATGGCTTCTCCCTTCTTCCTTTGCGTATCCAGTTGAGCTGCGTCCATGCGCCAAGTCCCTCCATGCTCCTCACGTCCCATATGCTCCAGAATGCTCCAAAAGACCTATTTCAAAGGACCAAACATGCATATGTATGCAAATGCAACCTAAAACTAACATGAATGCATAAGAAGAGAAAAGGAACAAGATATGATGCTAATGGATGCTAAAACTATGCAAAAGATGCATAAAAGATGTGCTAAAACTATGTAAAATGCAAGTACATCAGGAACAAAAGGTCTTTTGCACACTCTGAAGTAGAATTGTAGAAGGGTTTCTCCACATGCTTGATTAGCTCTTCATTCAAGACTTCAGGATGGGGTGGTATGCCTCCCCATTCTTCTTCATCACGCTCCCTTTCTAGGTGATAAGAGTAGTGGTTGTACTTAGACTTGAAAGGTGGCAACCTCACAAATCTCTTCAAGAATGCTTCTCTAAAATCAATCCATGACTCGATTGTAGAAAGCGGTTCATGTTGCGCCCAATCTAGAGCTTGTCCAGCTAAAGACATGCTGAATAGCATCATCTTCTTCTCAAAGTCAAAAACTCCATAAGAATCACAAAGATTCTCAAAGTGATCTATATGCTCCAGGCATACTCCGAAAATAGATCATGGAATTGATCTCTCTTCACGAACTCGATCAGTTCAGGGTCAATCTCCTCTTCTGGTGTGGCTAGAAGGTGTTCTTCTCTGTAAGATGCGGCTTGCTAGACGTCTCCAGGTCGGCTGCTTCAAGGTAGGGAAGAAGGTTCTTCTTGGACTTCAAGAGAGATAGTCTTGGAGGACTATCCCAAGTAGGTGGTGGTGCTTGAGGGTTTGACATCTCTTGCTCGTCCAAGAGGTCTCTTTGAGGTGGTATGTGGCGAAGTGGGATCGCCTTTATAGGGTCAAGGACTTGTGAATCCTTTTCCATATCTAACTTGGAAAACCTGAAAAACTCAAAAACAAAAAGGAAAACGAAATCAAAAGAAATGGAAAAATAACAAAACTAAAAAGGGAAAAGAAGAACCCTAGACTAGCTCTCTTGCAAGAGCTTGTAGGTGCGAATTGGTCCCCGGCAACGGCGCCAAAAATTTGATCGCGGGATCAGGTCTTCCCTTTTCCTATCCCTGATTCTGCAAGTGCACAGGTCAGAAGTAGTAAACGGGTATCGAACACGAGGACCAGATTGCACACTACAAACTATGAGATTGAGATCGAGCTAGGGCAAACAGTATAAATTGGTTGAGTGCAGTGAAAGTAAAGGCATGCAAGTAAAGTAAGAATAAAGGAGAAGAGGGCTAAGCAATAGGATAGTCTTAAGATAAGCAATTCATGAAGCAAGATCAATCAATTAGGGTTATTGCAATTAGGTGCCATCTAGAACTCGAAACACTATGGTATGATCTTCCACTTTCGTGGCTCCGACCCCTTTGTTAATCTCCCTAGTCGCTAAACTTTTGGTATGTCCCTAGGTGATTAAATCAAGCATTAGTTCGATTAAGTTCAATTGTTCACAACCTACAAGTAAATCAACTTTCGCAGTCTAAAAGAGGTTGCCCACCAAATACTAGTTCAGGCGAATGATACAACACTTTCGAGGCTCAAATCAACCTTAGATCATATGCTAATTGGCCAGATTAACAACAAGCATTAAGTATAAGCAAAGATGAAGATTATAAGTAAAACCCTAATTTGTGATCGATCATCAAGCATACATGAATGCTATCCTTTGACTTCCTATCACTTAACAAGTAAACTACTCAGACATAGAGAAGGAACGAATTCATATTCATAAGAACAGAGATTCGAATCCTCTCTAGAAAGAGAACAAGCAAGAACAAAGTAAAAGCAAGCAAAACTTTATTAAAGATGTAAAGTATAATTGTGGTCTCTCTCCTTCTTGAGTTACAAGGCTAAAAAGAAGTATTTATAATGCACTAAGTATGAAAAAGCGGCTAGACCTAAATCTAGCTAAGTCAGCGCGGCATTGGGCTTGAATTGTATGCTCCAAAAACGGCTTCGGGTCGACCGGCCGGTTCGGACGGTCGTTCGGTGACGTCGGTCGGTCGTCGGTCGGTATCGGCTCGTACGGCGTCGGAACGATCGTGCGAACGGTTCGTGTTCGGCTGACGACGGACGGATGATAAGTTTTGGCCGATGAAACCTGGCCGGTCACGGGAGGGAGCCTTCCTGTTCGCGCGGCGATTGGTCGGCCGCGGTACATGGTTGTGCCGCGCGGCCGCGAAGCTTGCCTTCTATCTGTTCGCAGGGCGCGTCCGATGCAGGAGGTGGGTTGTGAAGTGATGTTGGGACCGCACGCGGGACGATGCCTCCCGGTCGGTACGTGGGATCGGCCGTGGATTAGCGGGAACGCGACGATAGAATGCGGGCACGGTCGCGGTACGTTCGTTCCTCGATCGGCCGGTGTGCGCGGCTCAGGATGCGAATGCTCGATAAGGCCGTCTGGACCAGTCTTCACTAATTTGATCATAACTTGAGTTCTACTCATCCAAATGATGCCAATCCAATTGCGTTGGAGAGTTAACTCACTCAGAGCACGCGGGGAACTGGTCTTGATGAAATCCATTGAGTAGATCTTTTTTAGCTCCTCCCAAAGTAGAATCTGTGACAGTTGACTGGTTTGAAGTCCAAATCCTCTGTTTTGCTCCATAATGCACCTTTTGACCTAAAATGACTCTTTGCAGTATAAATCCATAAAAACTACCTTTTAAGACAAGAATCCACTAGAAAAACCATTAGAAAACCATAGTAAAATAGCATAAAAGCATGTAAAATAGTATATCAACTCCCCCAGACTTAGATCTTTGCTTGCCCTCAAGCAAACAAATAGAACAAGAGATGAGGTTTGAAAATAAGCTTGATTCAACACTTAAAAACATGTCCTCAAAAGCGATTTGCTAAATGTCCAACTTAGAGATTCTAGAATGCAACAAGGTGAGAGATATTCATTAAGATTTAACCATGCTTATCAACATCAATCCCACTTCACAGTCACTCAAACAATGCATTCAAATCAGCAAATCCCTTTAACATTCATTAAGCAAAAACAGTGAACCAAAAACATGCAAGATCAATCAACTCATTTGGTTTCAAGGGTTTATGGGTTAAGAGACAAAGAGGGTCTCTTTTGTATGGTGGTTTAGTAACAGGGATCTCTCAAGAAAGTGGCTTTGCTTTGGCAGAAGGCTAAGTGTTAGAACCAAAGATGATGCAAGAACAGCAGCTCGAGCCGCCTAATCCTAACTCGATCGAGTTCAACACTTAGAGCTTTTTAGAACAAAATCCTAACTACCCTTTTTGGCATTTCGCCTTTGAAACTGAGGAGCTTTGCTCACTTTTCTTTTAAGAACACCTAGGGAGAGGCTTCTTGAGGTAACATCTAGCGGTTTGGGATTTTCTAAACACTTAGGGAACTTTTCTTTTCTTTTTGAGGCTTTGCCTTCTTTTCATTCTACTTAGAACCCTTTTTACTTCCTTTTTTAACTTCCCAAACCTTTACTAGACCCTTTTTAACACTGCCAACTCCCTGGACTTAAAAACTCTTTTTTTTGGTTTTTCCCAACTTTTACCACTTTTCTGGTTTTTACACCCAACTCGATCGAGCTCGAGTTGGCACCCCCAAACTTAGCCTGAAAACAATCCCAAGAGAACTAGACAACTAGAACTACTGCCCCTGCCGGTTTAAACACAACACCTTATGCTAAGCAAAGCCAAGAAAGGTTCTCACATTCGCACAAGAGATAATATGGGGTTTGAAATGAAAAGGCTTAGGTTTAAGGTAACTGTCTCAAAGATAGATCAGCTATCTGGACAAGCAAAAGGGATATGAAATAGGTAAAGAATGTCCAGATATGTATGTGGTAGCCATGAGTTGAAATCAAATGCAAGCATTGGTAATTAAAGATCAAGTTATGGTTCAAATAGATAGGGAAATGCATCAAATCACAGCAATGGTTGAATGAGATGTGCATGCAGTGATATGATCAAGATAAACATGGTTCTTGCTGCTCAATCAATCTCACCCTAATGCACAAAAGAATCTAAAAACAGGGCACTCAAGAAATCGCAAATGATGAACAAGTTTTCAAAGTCAAATCAACAATGCAAGTGAAAAATGCAATCCTAAACAAGTCTAACAAATATGAATGCAAAAAGATGAAAATATTTTTGGATTTTTTGAAAATTTTATGATTTTTTTGGTTTTTCTATGCAAAAGATAATGAAAAACTAAGAACAAAGAAAACAAGGTTAAATCATCTCTTGAACCCTCCCCCAAACTTAAATCACACAGTCCCTTGTGTGAGAAAATTTAGTGAAAGATTCAAGAGGGCAAAACCAAGAAAAAAAAAAAATGCAAGAAAATATGAAATGGTATACAAGGGTTGGTGTTTGATACCTCAGTGCCCCCCAAAGAACTGGGAGGCTAGGTCGTGGTCTGGAGATGGGACGGCCATCAGGAGCACTCCATGCACTGGGTTCATGCGCTCGATCGAGCTTGCGGCTCCTCTTCTTCTTCATCTCAAAGTGTGTGGCTCCCTTGGCCTTGGAGGAGCTGGCTTGCTCGAACTGCCGTATGGGTCCAGTGGCTCTGGGGAAGTCCTGGTACTGCGTTGGATCGTACTCGAATCCAGGGTTCTCAAACTCCCTCAGGTCAACTCGACCCTCAGCTCGATCGAGTTGAGTTTCCTCTGTTTGGACTCGATCGAGTCCTGGTCGAGCTGGAGCGTCTGGCCTTGGAACTCTTCCTCCTCCTCTGCGTGTTGTCTTCTCCTTCCCTTGGCTCGAAATGAAGAGGCTCTTGGGCAGGGAGCCTCCTTGGAGTGGTGAGAAGGATCTACTCCTAGGGAATGTGGGGGCCATGGACTTCTTCTTCTTGCTTGAAGAACCAGAAACCTTCTTCTCCAAACTCTTGATCTTGCTCACCATCTTGTCCATGGACTTTTGCATCTTTCTCATGGCCTTCCCTTGCCACTTGTTGAACTTTTGGAGAAGTCCAATCCTCTTGTGAGCAGCCACAACAGAGGGGTTCATCCTTGGAGCCTCATACTCCTCAAAATAGTAGCACTCAGGCTCACCCAAATCCTCATCACTCGACTTGGTCCTCAGCTCGATCCTCAGCTCGATCGAGTTCAGGCTCCTCTTCTCGCAAATCATCCTCATGCCCAACTAATGTGTACACTGGGGGTCTGAAGTCAATGTTCTCACCCCTGACGACTGTGGTGAGCTCAGGGTTGGGCAGGAGAAGCTTGGAAGGGCCAGCCAATGGGTGTGTGAACTTGAATTGGTATCCCATCCAATTCCTTGTGCTCAATGAGGAGGTTGGTCTTGCAGAACTTGATGTCCATCCATCCGCTGGAGTTGCCTTCTTCTTGTTTAATTGACCCCAGCTGCACAGAGGATGGTGTGATGATCCCTCCAACACTTAGCCTTTTCCCTTTTGATGAGTGTTGTAGGCTGTGGCTGTAGGAGAGAGCTGATCTCAAGGAGGGCATGAGGTTCCCTGCGTGTGCTATCTCCTCTGACTTCTTCCCATCACTTGTGCGTGAGATGATGGGCTTAATCCCCATGTCAAGGAGCTTACTTCTCCTTCATTGATTGTCCCTGTGGCTTTCCTTGCAAAGAAGGTGTTGGCAAGGCCTTGTGCACATATCTCAGCACTGGACTCCTGATCTGAGCAGCCTTGGACCTTGAGAAGAGTAACTCCCTTCAGCTATTGTAGCCCAACACTTTGGAGCTCATTCTCCTTGATGTCCCAATGGTTCCCTCTCCATAAGTGAACCCAAACAGTATCTCAAGCTGCCTAAAGGTCACCATCTTCTTTCTCCTCTTTGCCAAGAATGTGATCCATCCCCAGCCTTGGTCCAAGTCAGCTCGATCGAGCTCATCATACTTGTGGTACCTCATCGATGCCAAAAACTCACAAGTGAGCTCCTTGTAAGACTCCATGCGGTGAGAGAAGAACTTGGCCAAGTGCATGTTCTTGAGCACCAACTCCACATCCTCAAAGATTCCAAGAGCCCTCATTGGTCATCATGTGGGTACTTGGTCTCACAAAGTCCATGGAGAAGAGAGCATTGTAGTGCTCTTGGTACATGGGGAGCTCATCCTCCTCTTCTTGTGGCTCAGCCTCCTCCATGGCTCATCTTGGTTACTCTCATGCCACTTTCATCAACCTCTGATTACCTCCTCTCCTTCTTCTTCACTTCAGATCATCACCTTTCTCTTCCAAGTTCACCCCAATCTCAAACTCTCCTTGCTCACTCTCACTACTAATGGGGTCATTCCTCTTCTTGGTCCTCCTTTCTTCCCTCAATCTCTCACTCTCAGACTCCTCAGAGTACATATCCCTCTGCATCAGACTTCCATCCTCTGATCATCCTTCCAAATCGGCTTGCATCTTAGCCTTCTTTCCTTGCATTGCTTGATTCACCCTCAACCATTCTCCTCTGTGCGAAGCACGGCTTCCCTCACTGTTTGTCATCTTGTTAGCTGTTTTTCAACTAAGTACCTGAAATTCATCAAAGATTCCAAAGAATTAGAGTTGTAATGATCGGTTTGGTCAACTCGACACCACTCGATCGAGTCAAAAAACTCGAGTGACAAACTCGATCGAGCTAGGTGAAAACAGAGTATAACCGAACCTAATCAAGTATTAAGAGCTGGAAAGGATGCTAATCAATCAAATTGAACCAAGAACATAAGTAATTGGAACAATGAGCAATTCTAGTGAAGAACAAGCATCCTAGCCAATTACCAAACTCAAATTCAATTTTAAGCACATGCAACAATTCAATGGCAAAACAGAGGTGAGGTGAAATGATATGAAGCAATTACTCAAGAACAAGTCCACAAGGGACACATGCAATCAAAATCAAGAGAAACACAATAGAGAGGAATCGAAACTGAAGGATTTGGGTTAGGGTTCATACCTTGCTTGAATGATGATTGAAAGAACAGTAGCTAGAACTAAAGCAATTAAGAAAGAACAAGAAGAAATCGCAAAAACTTGAAGAGAGCTTGAAGATTTCGGATTTTTCTTAGAGAGAAGAGAGATGATGATTTCAGAAAATTGAGTGTGGGAGAGAGAGAGGGGTTCGATCGAGTTATGGGGAAGAGGGAGTGTTTGAGATGTGTGGTTGAGGATTAAAAGATGAAAAAAGAGGGGACAAAAGCTAGGGTTTTTCTGATCGAAATTAGGGAAGTGGGGGACCAAAATTTACATGTGGGACCCACTCCCTTGACCAAGGAAAACGGTTAGAAATTTGAAATTTCAAAAACTTACCTTGGTCGAGTTGTGGAACTCGATCGAGTTACCCTTTGTTTCTAGCTCGATCGAGCTGTCGGTCGAGCTGGCTCCTTGTCACCTAAACTTAACTTATTGAAAGGTTAAAGACACAAAACTAGATAGAAATTGCAATAAAGAATATGTACAAGGATAGTCATGGGACTTCCTCCCAAGTGAGCTTGTTTAAGGTCCCATAGCTTGACCTTTACCTTTTAGGCATTGGTTGAGCTAGTCCCACCATCAAGGGTGATAGTGAGGACTTGAGACAGAAGCTCCTTTAGCTTGGTTGGGTCCCTGGATTGCTCTGAAGTGACCAAGGCCTTGGCTCTAGAGAATGGTCTTGATCTCCCCTTGTACCTTATCTTGTACTCAATCTTCCCATTTTCAAATTGGTGGGGAACAAAGGTCATAGTGAGCTGAGATGGCTTGGTGAGGAAACCTGAGCTGGTGGGTCTTTCTTTTCTCTCCCACAAGTGCCTTTGAGGCTGCATCCTCCCCTTCTTTTTGAGCGCTTCCTAGTGGCTCATCAAACAAAGCTTGAGGCTTTCCTTCATCAAGGACACAAGGTGCTTGAACAAGTCTATCAGCTCGTGGCCTATCAGATCGTGGTCTCTCAACTCTAGCCTCTCAAGGCGTGGTTTCTCAATCCTTGGTCCCTTATCAACTCTTTGATCCTTCTCAACCTTATCTCTCAAACTCTTGGTTCTTTGTCAACCTTTCCTTCACAACCTTTGTAACTTCAGGAGTCTTGGAACTGAGAGGAGTGCTTTCAATTGTGGCACAAAAGTCTGATCCTCTAGGCTGCAAGCGATAAGACACCAAACTATTCACCTTGTGAAGAATCACTTCTTGCTTGTGAAAGTCTATTGAAGCGCCAACTGTGCTAAGGAATGGGGTTCCCAATAGCAGAGGTAGATCCTTCTCTTCTTCCATCTCCATGACAGTGATCAGTTTGGATGATGCATTCTCCTATTTTCAAGTGATAGTTCTTGAACACACCAAGAGGAGACTTAGAAGTTGCATCTCCAAACATGATTGAAGTAGTAGGGCGCTGCAATGCTCCAGCAATGCCAGCTTTTCTGCCATTGTGAGGGAGATCAGGTTGATGCTTGCACCAGAATCCACCAAGGCATTGTCAAGCTCAATATGCCCAAGTGTGCAAGGGAGAGTGAATTTCCCTTGATCCTTCACCTTTGGTAAGAAAGTAGGTGAGGTAAGCAGGTTGATTTGGTGAGTAGACTCCTCAGAACCTCTGAAACTTATCAATGTTAGCCATAACATCTTGAATCATCTTCATTTGCTCAAATGCCTCACTCATGCTATATAGAGGCAACTCAATTCCAATCTCACTGAGATCTCTTCTGAACTTGTGAATCACTTCCTTATGGCTTGACTGAGTAGGCGAGATGAGGAGGTCAACTGGCTGGTAAGGATCAAGCAAAATCGGTTTGAGGACTGATGATCGACTCGATCGAGCTAGAGTTCGACTCGATCGAGCTGCCGATCGAGCTTGTTGTGCGAGCTCAACTGGTGAAGTGTGAATGGCTATGGGAGTAGCTTGCACTCAGGTTGATCAATATGGACTTGATGTACTTGCATTTTACATGGTTTTAGCCCCTCTTTTATGCCATCTTTTGCATAGTTTCATTCACCCAAAGCATCATTTCTTGATGTTTTCCCTTCTTTTGCATACATAGTAGTTTTAGGCTTGCATTTGCATACATGTGCACGTTTGATGTCTTAATCAGGTCATTTGGAGCTAATTGGAACATTGCCTATCACTGGAGACTAGTTGAGGAAGGAAAGACTCTGCCCCATGTACGGACCCGCACTCGGTCGAGCTAGTGAGATGCGTCCGAAGTATCGTATCAAATGAAGGGTTTACACTCCGATTCAGCCTCTGACTTCTTCTTGGAAGTTGTGGATAATTGAGTTAGCTTTCGTCTGGAGGTGGTTTCATGTCATTCGGACCAGCGGTTCAGAAGATACGACGATATTGGTTGGACTCGACCCACCAGCTCGACCGGCCAGTTTCCAACTCGATCGAGCTGCTTTTCCAGGAGTCAAAGTCAAACCCGAAAAATGTTGCTTCCCTTTGACTCCCCTTTGACCCTAAACCTAGTTTGCTTTACTATAAATGGCATTGAGCCACGAAATTAAACATAGCTTTGGCTCAACTTTTAATTAATCTTGTATTTGCATTTCCCTTTTTTACTTTTTAGCCTCTCTTTGTGTTCTTGAGCTCTTGCTCATAGAACCCTAGATCTAGGCTTTGTTATTGTGTTTTGCACTTGCTTATTTCAATAAAAGTTGTTTATTTTATCTCCTTTATCTTTCAATGTCTATTTCATTGCATTTGGTTGTTTATTTTATCATGTGTAGTGAGTAGTTCCATTTAGGGCTTAAGATGGGATAGATTAGAGGTTGTTTATGCTTAATCCTTCTTGCTTATGTTCTTAATCTAGAAATCTCTCTCTTTTGGACAAACCTTAAGGCTACATGACCACTACCCCTGGCTTGTATGTCCATAGGCGATTCTCCACATGGAAGTGATGGAAATCGTTGGAAAAGGTCCACTAAGAGCTCCAATAACTCTTGCTCTCGAAATGGAGTTCATAGGGGTTGGATGGATTAGTTTGAGCAATGATCCTATGGCCTCCAAGGCTTGATTCTCACTGGCTAACCCCCTGTTTCTGAGATCAAGTCTTGGTTGATAGCTTTCACCTTGGGAAAGGGTTAGCTAGGCATTGAGAAGCTCAATATCAAGAGATACCTTGATACAAGTTGTTTAAGAGCAAGATGATTAAGTATAGCCTCCCTTTAGCTAAAACCCTGTCTTTAACCCTAATCTTCGCATTAGCATTTTAAAGTTTGCACCTTTATCGCTTTTCATTGCATTTCCTCTGTTTTTACACCAACTCGACCCTCAACTCGATCGAGCTCACCAACTCGACCCTCAACTCGATCGAGCTCATCAACTCGATCGAGCTCTTGGTCGAGCTCATCAACTCGATCGAGCTCTTGGTCGAGCTCCCTTGCATCTGCTTGTTCTTGTTAATTTCTTGCATTTAGCTGCTTTCTTTTATTTTCTGCTTTGCATTTCCGTTATATTAGGTTGTTTAGTTGTTACATCCATCTTCATTTATCATTTGGCTTGAATTGCATAGTTCCTGCATAGTTCTATAGAGTAATCAGCTTCCCATTTGGATTGACACCTCAAATGCTACAATGACATGAGTAGCTGATTTTGAGTAATTGATAGTAAAATCCTGTTATCAAGACTCCAGGAGCCTCATTAGCAACAATCTCGTCGTCATTCAGCAGCAAACAGAACTCTTCCATGACTCTCTCTTGATCTTTCTCTTCTTCTAGACCTTCTTGAATGAAGATGACCTTGCATTGTTCTTTGGGGTTCTGAACAGCTTTACCAGGTAGTTGTCCTTGCTTTGTAGCAGCAGCAACAGAAGAAGCATGATTCTCCAGAGAGTAAACTCTTGTGTTGAGATTCTCAATCTTGGAGTTGATTTTAGCCAACTTCTTGCTTGTGTCCACAACACCATCAGCTTGACCTTGAAGCAACTGTTTAAGCATAGCCTTGAGCTCATGCTCTGGTGTAGGCGCAGGCTGGGGTGGTTGGTGGGGAAAGCCAGGTGGTATGTGCATTTGTCTGACCAGGAAAAGTCCCTTAGGGCCTTGGTAGTTGTTTTAGGACCATACCCATGTTGTGGAGCTTGACTCGATCGAGCTTGCTTGTTGTTGAGGATAAATATTGGTCCTGAGGGTTAGCAACATCAGTGTTGCGGTATGACATGGCTGGGTTGGACTTGTAATTATAGTATCCTTTGTTGTAACCTCTTGCCCATTGCTCATGTAGCATACCTCAGCAAATTGTGTATCCTCCCCTTCTTGGACTGGTTCCATCTCTCAGCAGACACAAAGTTGACTTTCTTCATTGTGGACTGAGCTAGGATAGCTTATCCAACTTCTCATTCAACCTTACATCTTTTCTCAATTTCTCATCGACTCGATCGAGTGGTGGGTCGAGCTCCGGTTGGTGCGATCATACTCTTCTCCATAGCTTCCATTTGAGTTTGCTATGTTCTCCACAAGCTGCCAACCATCATCCACATCCTGCCTGTGTCCAACATCTCTCTATATCCTTGCCAAACAACCTCTATAAAGAGTAGAGAGTAGTGATTCATTGTTGAATCCATGGTGTGGGCACTGACTTGTGTAGCCCTTTGAACCTCTCCCAAGCCTCTGCGAATGTCTCATTGTTTCGCTGGATGAAGCTGGATATCTCTCCTCTAAGCTTGGCTGTGCGACCGGTGGAGAAAAACTTAGCAAGAAAGGCCTTCTTGCATTCATCCCAAGTGGTGATTGTGCCATGGGGCAAGCTCTTCTCCCATTGGTGAGCTTTGTCAGCTAGAGACATAGGAAAGAGTCTCAGCTTGATGGCATCTTCAGAGACACCATTGATCTTTGTCAAATCACAAAGCCTATCAAACTCATCAAGGTGGTCAATGGGGTCTTCACTTGGCAATCCATGGAACATCTTGTTCTGGACAAGGTTGATCATTCCCAGCTTGATCTCAAAGTTGTGGTTCTGCACTGGTGGTGGAACAATCCCTTGTCTCTGTTGGTGGCGGTTTGGAGCATCTCCTTGACCAATCGGTCGAGTTTGCCTAGCTCGACCGAGTCCATTCCCAAAGGGTTTCCATTCCCCTCTGGTACATCCATTGTATCAGCAACAAGCACCTCAGGTTCCACTTGTACCCTCTGACCTTCTCTTTCTACCCGTTGTGAAATCTAGCTCGACCAAGTCTTCTGTTGACCGACTCGATCGAGTTCGCATACACCTGCAAAAAGAGACAAAAACCCAGCAGTACAATAGAACAGGGGTGGTATAGCTTGATCGTCCAAGTGTGTTTGAAACTCAAATGCAACAAAAATATTCCCAAATCGGCAACGGCGCCAAATTGATGATAGGATTTTGTGTGTGATGATGATATGATATGAAATGAAATGAGGTGGAATGCAACAGTGGTAATGAAGATGGATGGTATGGTGCAAACACAATCACAATCAATCAATTCCCTTAACCATCATAGTCATTGAAGTATAAGGGTTATCAATCCAAAATGGGAAATTGTCACTCTATGAGAATATGAAACAACAAGGAAGTCAAGCAAGCAGTAATAGATGGTAAGTAACACTAACAACCTAATGAAATGAAATGCAAAGCAGAAAGTAAAGAAAGCAGTAAGCAAGCAGCTCGACCAAGGACTCGAGTCGAGTGGAACAGAGTACCAGCTCGATCGAGTTTAGGGTCGAGTTGAGCAAAAAGCTAAAGGCAGACTTTAACAAGCTAAGAGAGAATTAGGGTTCAAGACAGGGTTTTGCAATCAGGAAGACTACACTTAATCAATCTTGCTCTTAAAACTCCTTGTATCAAGGCTTCTCTTGATATTGGGCTTCTCAATGCCTAGCCAACCCTTTCCCAAGGTGAAGGCTATCAACCAAGGAATGATCTCAGAAACAGGGGGTTAGCCAGTGAGAATCAAACCCTTGGAGGCCATAGGATCATTGCCCAAACTAATCCATCCAACCCCTTAGACCTCTATTTCGAGAGCAAGAGATATTGGAGCTCTTAGTGGATCTTTTCCAGCGAATTTCCATCACTTCCATGTGGGGAGTCGCCTAAGGACTTACAAGCCAGGGGTAGTGGTCATGTAGCCTTAAGATTATCCAAAAGAGAGAGAATCTAGATTAAGACCATAAGCAGAAGGATTAAGCATATGAAACCTCTAATCTATCCCATCTCAAACCCTAATGGGTAACTACTCACTACACATGAATGTAAACACAAGCAAATGCAATGAAAAGACATCATAAGAAAGAGGAGATGAAATAAACAACTTTTATTGAAATAAGCAAGTGCAAATACAAAGAGAAATCCAGGATCTAGGATTCAAGAAGCAAGAGCTTCAAGAACACAAAGATGGTTAGATTCTAAAAAGTAAAAAATACAAATTAAAAGAAACTAAAACAAAAATAATCTAAAGCTTGGTGTTTTTTCGTGGCTTAGAGCCTTTAAATACAAAGGAGATTAGGTTTAGGGTCAAAGGAAGTCAAGGGGGAAGCAACATTTTTCGGGTTTGACTGTTGACTTCTCAGCTCGATCGAGTTGAAGCTTGGCCGGTCGAGTTGAGGAACTCGACCGGTTGGTCGAGTAGACGGTCGAGCTGGTCTTCAAGATGGCTTCTCCTTCTTCCTTTGCGTATCCAGTTGAGCTGCGTCCATGCCAAGTCCCTCCATGCTCCTCACGTCCCATATGCTCCAGAATGCTCCAAAAGACCTATTTCAAAGGACCAAACATGCATATGTATGCAAATGCAACCTAAAACTAACATGAATGCATAAGAAGAGAAAAGGAACAAGATATGATGCAAATGGATGCTAAAACTATGCAAAAGATGCATAAAAGATGTACTAAAACTATGTAAAATGCAAGTACATCAACACAATACTTCATCCAGGAAGTGGTCCCCGACAACGGCGCCAAAAACTTGATCGCGGGATCAGGTCTTCCCTTTCCTATCCCTGATTCTGCAAGTGCACAGGTCAGAAGTAGTAAACGGGTATCGAACACGAGGACCAGATTGCACACTACAAACTATAAGATTGAGATCGAGCTAGGGCAAACAGTATGAGTTGGTTGAGTGCAGTGAAAGTAAAGGCATGCAAGTAATAAGAAAGATGAAATCAATAGGAGAAGAGGGCTAAGCAATAGGATAGTCTTAAGATAAGCAATTCATGAAGCAAGATCAATCAATTAGGGTTATTGCAATTAGGTGCCAATCTAGAACTTGAAACACTATGGTATGATCTTTCCACTGTCGAGGCTCCGACCCCTTTGTTAATCTCCCTAGTCGCTAAACTTTTGGTATGTCCCTAGGTGATTAAATCAAGCATTAGTTCGATTAAGTTCAATTGTTCACAACCTACAAGTAAATCAACTTTCGCAGTCTAAAAGAGGTTGCCCACCAAATACTAGTTCAGGCGAATGATACAGCACTTTCGAGGCTCAAATCAACCTTAGATCATATGCTAATTGGCCAGATTAACAACAAGCATTAAGTATAAGCAAAGATGAAGATTATAAGTAAAACCCTAATTGTGATCGATCATCAAGCATACATGAATGCTATCCTTTGACTTCCTATCACTTAACAAGTAAACTACTCAGACATAGAGAAGGAACACGAATTCATATTCATAAGAACAGAGATTCGAATCCTCTCTAGAAAGAGAACAAGCAAGAACAAAGTAAAAGCAAGCAAAACTTTATTAAAGATGTAAAGTAAATTGTGGTCTCTCTCCTTCTTGAGTTACAAGGCTAAAAAGAAGTATTTATAATGCACTAAGTATGAAAAAGCGGCTAGACCTAATCTAGCTAAGTCGGCGCCGGCTTGGGCTTGAATTGTGTGAATTGGGCTTCAAAAACGGCTTCGGGTCGACCGCGGCGTTCGGACGGTCGGTCGGGACGATCGGCCGGACGTCGGGTCGTGTCGGCCATCGGACGTCGGAACGATCGTGGCCGGACAGTTTTCGTGTTCGGCCGTGGGTCGGACGGATGGATAAGTTGGCCGATGAAACTTGGCCGGACGGGACGATGGCTTCCTGGTCGGCGGATGGTCGGCCGCGGTACATGAGTTGTGCCGCGCGGCCGCGAAGGCTTGCTTCCCGGCGCGCGCGGCGCGTCGTGCGCGGATGTGGCGTGTGAAGTGGTTGGCCGACCGCGGGACGATGCTTCCCGGGTCGTGTACGTATCGGCCGTGGACTTGGCGACGCGGACGGATGTGGCCGACGCGGAACATTCGTTCCTCGGCGGCCGTGCGGCTCGGCGCGATTCTCGATAGAGCCGTCTGGACAGTCTTCACTATTTTGGCTATAACTCCTTTTCTACTCATCCAAATGATGCCAATCCAATTGCGTTGGAAAGTTAACTCAATCAGAGCACGCAGGGAACTGGTCTTGATGAAATCCATTGAGTAGATCTTTTTTAGCTCCATCCAAAGTTGATGCAGTGGCATTGACTGGTTTGAAGTCCAAATCCTCTGTTTTGCTCCATAATGCACCTTTTTACCTAAAATGACTCTTTGCAGTATAAATCCATAAAAACTACCTTTTAACACAAGAATCCACTAGAAAACCATTAGAAAACCATAGTAAAATAGCATAAAAAGCATGTAAAATGCAAGTACATCAACACCCCCAAACTTGAACTTTGCTTGCCCTCAAGCAAACAAATAGAACAAGAAAGAGATGAGGTTTGAAAACAAGCTGATTCAACACTTAAAAACATGTCCTCAAAAGCGATTTGCTAAATGTCCAACTTAGAGATTCTAGAATGCAACAAGGTGAGAGATATTCATTAAGATTTAACCATGCTTATCAACATCAATCCCACTTCACAGTCACTCAAACAATGCATTCAAATCAGCAAATCCCTTTAACATTCATTAAGCAAAAACAGTGAACCAAAAACATGCAAGATCAATCAACTCATTTGGTTTCAAGGGTTTATGGGTTAAGAGACAAAGAGGGTCTCTTTTGTATGGTGGTTTAGTAACAGGGATCTCTCAAGAAAGTGGCTTTGCTTTGGCAGAAGGCTAAGTGTTAGAACCAAAGATGATGCAAGAACAGCAGCTCGAGCCGCCTAATCCTAACTCGATCGAGTTCAACACTTAGAGCTTTTTAGAACAAAATCCTAACTACCCTTTTTGGCATTTCGCCTTTGAAACTGAGGAGCTTTGCTCACTTTTCTTTTAAGAACTTCCTAGGGAGAGGCTTCTTGAGGTAACATCTAGCGGTTTGGGATTTTCTAAACACTTAGGGAACTTTTCTTTCCTTTTTGACACTTGAGGCTTTGCCTTCTTTTCATTCTACTTAGAACCCTTTTTACTTTCCTTTTTTAACTTCCCAAACCTTTACTAGACCCTTTTTAACACTGCCAACTCCCTGGACTTAACTAAACTCTTTTTCCTTTGGGTTTTTCCCAACTTTTACCACTTTTCTGGTTTTTACACCCAACTCGATCGAGCTCGAGTTGGCACCCCCAAACTTAGCCTGAAAACAATCCCAAGAGAACTAGACAACTAGAACTACTGCCCCTGCCGGTTTAAACACAACACCTTATGCTAAGCAAAGCCAAGAAAGGTTCTCACATTCGCACAAGAGATAATATGGGGTTTGAAATGAAAAAGGCTTAGGTTTAAGGTGTGGTAACTGTCTCAAAGATAGAGATCAGCTATCTGGACAAGCAAAGGGATATGAAAATAGGTAAAGAATGTCCAGATATGTATGTGGTAGCCATGAGTTGAAATCAAATGCAAGCATTGGTAATTAAAGATCAAGTTATGGTTCAAATAGATAGGGAAATGCATCAAATCACAGCAATGGTTGAATGAGATGTGCATGCAGTGATATGATCAAGATAAACATGGTTCTTGCTGCTCAATCAATCTCACCCTAATGCACAAAAGAATCTAAAAACAGGGCACTCAAGAAATCGCAAAAGATGGACAAGTTTTCAAAGTCAAATCAACAATGCAAGTGAAAAATGCAATCCTAAACAAGTCTAACAAATATGAATGCAAAAAGATGAAAATATTTTTGGATTTTTTGAAAATTTTATGATTTTTTTGGTTTTTCTATGCAAAAGATAATGAAAAACTAAGAACAAAGAAAACAAGGTTAAATCATCTCTTGAACCCTCCCCCAAACTTAAATCACACAGTCCCTTGTGTGAGAAAATTTAGTGAAAGATTCAAGAGGGCAAAACCAAGAAAAAAAAAAAAAATGCAAGAAAATATGAAATGGTATATACAAGGGTTGGTGTTTGGATACCTCAGTGCCCCCAAAGAACTGGGAGACTAGGTCGTGGTCTGGAGATGGGAGACGGCCATCAGGAGCCTCATGCAACTGGGGGCCTCTGCTCACTCGATCGAGCTTGCGGCTCCTCTTCTTCTTCTTCTCAAATGTGTGTGGCTTCCTTGGCCTTGGTGGAGCATTGGTAGCTCGACTGTCCATAGGGGTTCCATCTACTCGGGGAGTCCTGGTAAGGGTGGATCGTACTCAAATCCAGGATCCTCGAACTGGGGCTCCTCCTCAACTCGACCGTCAGCTCGATCGAGTTGAGTTTCCTCTGTTTGGACTCGATCGAGTCCGGTGGTCGAGCTGGAGCGTCTGGCCTTGGAACTCTTCCTCCTTCTCTGCGTGTTGTCTTCTCCTTCCCTTGGCTCGAAAGAAGAGGCTCTGTGAGGCTCTTGGGCAGGGAGCCTCCTTTGGGTGGTGAGGAGTGACTCCTAGGGAAAGTGGGAGCTTGGGTGCCTTCTTCTTCTTGCTTGAAGAACCAGAAACTTTCTTCTCCAAGCTTGATCTTGCTCACCATCTTATCCATGGACTTTTGCATCTTCTCATGGCCTTCCCTTGCCACTTGTTGAACTTTTGGAGAAGTCCAATCCTCTTGTGGCAGCCACAACAGAGGGGTTCATCCTTGGAGCCTCATACTCCTCAAAGTAATAGCACTCAGGCTCACCCAAATCCTGCACTCCATCTTCAGCTTGATCCTCAGCTCGATCCTCAGCTCGATCGAGCTCGATCTCTCTTCTTGCAAATCTCTTCATGCCCAACCAAAGTGTACACAGGGGGTCTGAAGTCAATGTTTGTACCCCTAGGACCGTGGTGAGCTCAGGGTTGGGCAGAAGAAGCTTGGAAGGGCCAGCCGTGGGTGTGTGAACTTGAATTGGAATCTCCCATCCAACTCCTTGTGCTCAATGAGGAGGTTGGTCTTGCAAAACTTGATGTCCATCCAACCAGCTGGGGTTGGAGTAGACCTTCTCTTGTCCACTTGAACTCCAGCTGCACAAAGAATTGGTGTGATGACCCCTCCAACACTAAGCTTCCTTCCTCTTTGGTGCCTAGTGTTGTAAGCTGTGACCTTGTAGGCTTGGAGCTGCTCAAGGAGAGGCATGAGATTCCCTGCGTGTGCCCTATCTCCTCTGATCTTCTTCCCATCCTTGTGCGTGAGATGATGGGCTTGATTCCCATGTCAAGGAGCTTCACTTCTCCCTCATTGATTGTCCAGTGGCTTTCCTTGCAAAGAAGGTGTTGGCAAGAGCCTTGTGACATATCTAAGCACTGGGCTTCTGATCTGGCAGCCTTGGACCTTGAGGAAGAGTACCCCTCTTCAGCGATTGTAGCCCATACTCTTTGGAGTTCTTCTTCCTTGATGTTCCATGGTTACCTTCTCCATAGTGAACCCAAACAGTATCTCAAGCTGCCTAAAGGTCACCATCTTCTTCTCTCCCTTTGCCAAGAAGTTATGTACCCCCAGCCTTGGTCCAACTCAGCTCGATCGAGCTCATCAAACTCGTGATGCTTCATCGACGCCAAAAACTCACAAGTGAGCTCCTTGTAAGACTCCATGCGGTGAGAGAAGAACTTGGCCAATTGCATGTTCTTGAGCACCAACTCCACATCCTCAAAGATCCAAGATCTCTCATGTGTCATCATGTGGGTACTTGGTCTCCACAAAGTCCATGGAGAAGAGAGCATTGTAGTGCTCTTGGTACATGGGGAGCTCATCCTCCTCTTGCTCTCCTCAGCCTCTTCCATGGCTCATCTTGGTTCTCTTGTCATCTTCATCAACCAATTGGTTCACCTCTTCTCCTTCCTCATCACTCTCAGTTTCCTCACTCCTTCCTTCATTTGGAGAGCCATTTCCTCCTCTTGAACAAGGTTCACTCCAATCTCAAACTCTCCTTGCTCACTCTCACTACTATAGGGTCATTCCTCTTCTTGGTTCTCCTTTCTCCCTCAGCCTCTCACTCTCAGACTGTTCCTCAGAGTAGACAATCCTCTGCATCAGATTCTTCCATCCTCTGATCATCTTCTCCAAATCGGCTTGCATCTTAAGCCTTTCTCTCTTGCATTGCTTGACTCACCCTCAACCATTCTCCTCTGTGAAGCGGCTTCCCTCACTGTTTGTCATCTTGTTACTCTGTTTCTTCACTAAAGTACCTGAAATGCATCAAAGATTACAAAGAATTAGAGTTGTAATGATCGGTTTGGTCAACTCGACACTCAGCTCGATCGAGTCAAAAAACTCGAGTGACAAACTCGATCGAGCTGGGTGAAAACAGAGTATAACCAAACCTAATTCAAGATTAAGAGCTGGAAAAGATGCTAATCAATCAAATTGAACCAAGAACAACTAGTAAATGGAACAATGAGCAACTATAGAGAAGACTAAGCATCTTAACCAATACCAAACTCAAATTCAATTTCAAGCACATGCAACAAGTTTAAAGGCAAAACAGAGGTGAGGTGAAACAAACTAACAAGATTATACAGCAGAGGCGAAATATGAGGGCAATTACTCAAGAACAAGTCCACAAGGGACACATGCAATCAAAAATCAAAGGAAACAAGCAATAGTGAAATCGAGATGGAGAATCAAGGGTTTAGGGTTCATACCTTGCTTGAATGATGAATTGAAGACAGTAAACAAGAACCCAAGCAAAACAATGAAGAACAAGAGAAATCGCAAAAACTTAAGAGAGAAAGAGAAAATTCGATTTTCTTGTGGTGAAGAGAGAGAGAGATGAGTTTCAGAAATTTTAAGATTGTGGGAGAGAGAGAGGTGGATTCGATCGAGTTATGGGGAAGAGGGGTGTTTGAGATGTGTGGTTGAGATTAAAAGATGAAATAAAGAGGGAACAAGAAGCTAGGGATTCTCTGATCAAATTAGGGTAGTGGGGGACCAAAATCAGCTTGTGGGACCCACTCCCTTGACCAAGAAAACGGTTATGAATTTGAAATTCAAAAACTTACCTCGGTCGAGTTGTGTAGCTCGATCGAGTTGCCCTGGTTTCTAGCTCGATCGAGCTATCGGTCGAGCTGGCTTTTGACACCTAAACTTAACTTATTCAAAGGTTAAAAACATAAAGATAGATAGAAATTGCATAAATAGAGTATGTACAAGGATAAACATGGGACTTCCTCCCAAGTGAGCTTGTTTAAGGTCCCATAGCTTGACCTTTACCTTCTTAGGCATTGGTTGAGCTAGTCCCACCATCAAGGGTGATAGTGAGGACTTGAGACAGAAGCTCCTTTAGCTTGGTTGGGTCCCTGGACTGTTCTGAAGTCACCAAGGCCTTGGCTCTAGAGAATGGCCTTGATCTCCCCTTGTACCTTATCTTGTACTCAATCTTCCCATTTTCAAACTTGGTGGGGAACAAAGTCATTGTGAGCTGAGATGGCTTGACTGAAGGGGCCTGAGCTGGTGGATCCTTTCTTTTATCTCCTGGTCTTGCCTTAGAGGCTGCATCCTCCCCTTCTTTTAGAGCCCTTCCTAGTGGCTCATCAAACAAAGCTTGAAGGCTCTCTTCATCAAGCACACAAGGGGCTTGAACAAGTCTCTCAGCTCTTGGCCTATCAGATCGTGGTTTCTCAACTCTAGCCCTCTCAAGACGTGGCTTCTCAATCCTTGGTCCTCTCTCATCCTTATCCTTCCCAACTCTTGGTTCCTTGTCAACCCTTTCCTTCACAACCTTTGTAGCTCCATGACTCTTAGAACTGAGATTGGTACTGTCAATTGTGGCACAAAAGTCTGAACCTCTAGGCTGCAAGCGATATGACACCAAACTATTCACCTTGTGAAGGATCACTTCTTGCTTGTGAAAGTCTATTGAAGCGCCAACTGTACTAAGGAAAGGGGTTCCCAATAACAAAGGCAAATCCTTCTCTTCTTCCATTTCCATCACAGTGAGATCAGTTTGGATGATGCATTCTCCAATTTTCAAGTGATAGTTCTTGAACACTCCAAGAGGAGACTTAGAAGTTGCATCTCCAAACATGATTGAAGTAGTAGGGCGCTGCAAGGCTCCAGCTATGCCTAGCTTCTCTGCCATGGAGAGAGAGATCAGATTGATGCTTGCTCCAGAATCCACTAAGGCATTGTCAATCTCAAGATGCCCAAGTGTGCAAGGGAGAGTGAATTTCCCTTGATCCTTGACCTTTGGTAGGAAGGTGGGTGAAGTAAGCAGGTTGAACTGATGAGTAGACTCTTGTAGGACCTCTGAAACTTTATCACTGTTGGCTAGAACATCCTTGACCATTTGCATTTGATCAAATGCCTCACTCATGCTATCCATAGTAGGCAACTCAATTCCAATCCCACTGAGATCTCTTCTGAACTTGTGAATCACTTCCTTGTGACCTTGACTAAGTAGGCGAGACGAGGAAGCGGCAACCGGTTGATAAGGATCAAGCAAAACAGGCTGTCGGACAGAAGAGGTCGGACTCGATCGAGCTAGAGTTGGACTCGATCGAGCTGCCGATCGAGCTTGTCGTGCGAGCTCAACTGGTGAAGTGTGAATGGCCACAGTAGGTGCATGCACTTCTGGTTGATCAATCTGGACTCCAGGAGCCTCAGCAGCAACAATCTCTTCATCATTCAGCAGTAAACAAAAATCTTCAATGACCCTTTCTTGATCCTCTTCTTCAACAAGTCCTTCTTGAGTGAAGATGACCTTGCACTGTTCCTTGGGGTTCTGAATAGCTTTACCAGGTAGTTGTCCTTGCTTTGTAGCAGCAGCAACAGAAGAAGCATGATTCTCCAGAGAGTAAACCCTTGTGTTGAGGTTCTCGATCTTAGAGTTTATTTCAGCTAGCTTCTTGCTTGTGTCCACTACCCCATCAGCTTGCCCTTGAAGTAGTTGCTTTAGCATTGCTTTGAGCTCATTCTCTTGTGAAGGTGCAGGCTGGGGCGGTTGGTGGGGGAAGCCTGGTGGGATATTCATTTGTTGTCCAGGGAAAGTGCCTTGTGGTCCTTGGTAATTGTTCTTTTGTCCATACCCATGTTGTGGCACCTGACTCGATCGAGCTGCTTGTTGTTGAGGATATACTTGGTCCTGAGGGTTAGCAACATCAGTGTTGCGGTATGACATGGCAGGGTTGGACTTGTAGTTATAGTATCCTTTGTTGTAACCTCCTTGCCCATTGCTCATGTAGCACACCTCAGCAAATTGTGTATCCTCCCCTTCTTGGACTGGTTCCATCTCCTCAGCAGACACAAAGTTGACTTTCTTCATTGTGGACTGAGCTAGGATCAGCTTATCCAACTTCTCATTCAATGCCTTAACATCTTTTCTCAACTTTTCGTCTGACTCAAGACAGGGTTTTGCAATCAAAGGAATCTACACTTAATCAATCTAGCTCTTAAAACTCCTTGTATCAAGGCTTCTCTTGATATTGGGCTTCTCAATGCCTAGCCAACCCTTTCCCAAGGTGGAGGCTATCAACCAAGGAATGATCTCAGAAACAGGGGGTTAGCCAGTGAGAATCAGACCTTGGAGGCTATAGGATCATTGCCCAAACTAATCCATCCAACCCCTTAGACCTCTATTGTCTAGAGCAAGAGATATTGGAGCTCTTAGTGGATCTTTTCCAGCGAATGCCATCACTTTCGTGTGGGGAGTCGCCTAAGGACTTACAAGCCAGGGGTAGTGGTCATGTAGCCTTAAGATCTATCCAAAAGAGAGAGAATCTAGATTAAGACCATAAGCTAGAAAGATTTAAACACAAGCAAATTCAATAAAAGAGACATCATAAGAAAGAGGAGATGAAATTAAACAACTTTTATTGAAATAAGCAAGTGCAAATACAAGAGAGATTATCCAGGATCTAAGATTCAAGAAGCAAGAGCTTCAAGAACACAAAGAGAGGATTAGATCTCTAAAAGTAAAAGTACAATAAAATTAAAAGAAGCTAAAACAAAAGTAATCTAAAGCTTGGTGGTTTTTTCGTGGCTAAGAGCCCTTAAATACAAAGAGGATTAGGTTTAGGGTCAAAGGGAAGTCAAGGGGGAAGCAACATTTTTCGGGTTTGACTTTGACTCCCCAGCTCGATCGAGTTGAAGCTTGGCCGGTCGAGTTGAGGAACTCGACCGGTTGGTCGAGTGGACGGTCGAGCTGGTCTTCAAGATGGCTTCTCCCTTCTTCCTTTGCGTATCCAGTTGAGCTGCTTCCATGTGCCAAGTCCCTCCATGCTCCTTGTGTCCCATATGCTCCAGAATGCTCCAAAAGACCTATTTCAAAGGACCAAACATGCATATGTATGCAAATGCAACCTAAAACTAACATGAATGCATAAGAAGAGAAAAGGAACAAGATATGATGCAAATGAAAGCTAAAACTATGCAAAAGATGCATAAAAGATGTGCTAAAACTATGTAAAATGCAAGTACATCACCTCCATACTTGAGTCTTAGCTTGATTCGAATCTCATAAACTCATAGTGTAAACTTATCTGGTTCTTGTGTTCGATAACCCGTTACTACATCTGACCTGTGCACTTGCAGAATCAGGGATAGGAATAGGTAAAACCTTATCCTGCATCAGCACCAATTTTTCTTGCCGGTCGTTGAGCTTGAGCTGGATTCCCGGCTTGTGGTGGAAAAGCTCCCGGTGGAGGAGCTCCTCCGTGGTTATCTGCCATCGTCTCAGTACCAGAGTCGTCGTCACTGAGCTGTAACTCGGAGCCTGTCTGAAATCCTGAACTCGACTCTGCTTCTACTCTGTTTCTGCCGTTGACGCTCGCGTTTAGCTCGTTCAGCTCGTTGAAGTTCGTCGGAGCTTAACAAGTTGGATTTGCCGCGAGAGCGTGTTTGCATACACCTGAGAGTAAGACAAGCAAAGCCCAGGCAGATTAGGTGAGTAAGTTGCAGAAATTTAAAAACTTGAACTTGAAATTTTCCAAAATCGAAAATCCCAATCAAATCTCCAAGATTGGCAACGGCGCCAGTTTGAAAACAAGATTTTTAGTGAATCAAACCCTCAAATCTCTGCTCATATCATTGCAGTATAGTTAAGGTATCAATCCAAATCTCGGAGAAGATTGGGTTCAAAAGAATGCAAGAAAGTTCAAGCCAAGAACAAAGATTTGGTTTTTATGAAATCCGAACGTTAAACAGTAAAAATACAAACTTAGAACAGTGATAACGGTCCAAATCAAGATTCAAAGAGGAAAGAAATCGACTTTGAGCTAAAAGACTTGAACTTTATGAAAGAAATGAGAAAGGCGATGGCTTTAGGTGATTTCGGATGGAAATCGAGCTAAAGGAAGAACTTTAAGACATAAGATAAAACCGAGTTTCTAGGCTAAGGAAAACGAAAGCAAGAGCTTATCACTATCGTGAATGAGCTCAAATGCAAGGTTCAAACTCAAGAGCTGACTATCGTCAGTGAGCTTGTACACAAGCAAGCTTTAAACGCAGATCCCAACACCAAAGAACCCTCTAAACAAACCGCTATCGCGGGCTAGAGAAGTAGATCCCTTTCTTAGATTTTCAACTCTCAAACACACTTTTGTTGCGTTGAGAGCTTGAGATCCGAGCCAGAATGATCAGAAATGCAAGGCTTTAAGGATACTAAGAGAAGGAGAAACTCTAAAGGTCTAGCTTTAAGACTCAAAACTCCTTCTAAGCTCTCAAACCATCACCTAAAACAATCTAAAGACTACTCACTCATCCTGTTTGACAAACCGATTCCAAAGAGGTAAGGTTGTCAAACAAGTGAGTGAGATGCAATCAAATGAAATAGCAAGTACGTGATTTGATTAAGAAAAAGACCAAAGCTTACAAAGTCTAGATCTCAACTTAGAGTATTTCTTGGTGGCAAAATGAAAGACAAATTACAAGGTGCCTAAAAAGTTAGGACTTTTAAGTTTATATAGTGGAGACTCTCTAAAACCCTTCTTCTTTCCTTCCCCAAGATTTAAGCTCCAAAACGCCGCGTTTCACTTGGATGGTCAACTCTCTTCTTGGTCAAGGAAAGGTGACAAACGGGTTCCTGATCCTGGTTCGCATCCTGGTTGCTCTTGGTCTTGACGTCTCCAACACTCCTTCTCCCAAATGGCTCCAAAGCTCCATTAAGTACCTGATTCAGACTCAAAATGCAATGTATATGCAATGCAAGTCCTAATGAAGATGCAATGTATAGATAGAGATATGAGGATAAATAAATGTATGAGAATAATGACTTAGGTGGAAATATGCATGAAAATGTATGCTAATGTATGTTAATATATGTGTATATCAGATAGGCAAAGGTACCATAAGGGCATGTGAAAGTGGTCTTCTCTTGATCATTGGGATGGATCGGGATTTGGAAGAAGCCACTGTAACCATCAAGAAAACAATAAAATGGATGGTTTGCTAATCTTTCTAACATCTAATCAATGAAGGGAAGAGGGAAATGATCCTTTCTAGATAGAGAATTTAACTTCCTATAGTCTATGCACATGCGATGCCCCACTATTGTTCTAGTGGGAATAAGCTCCTCTTTGTCATTCTTTATGACAGTGATTCCCCCTTTCTTTGGGACGCAGTGAACTGGAGATATCCAAGTGCTATCACTAATGGGATAGATTATCCCAGCATCAAGCAACTTGAGGATCTCTTTCTTCACTACTTCCTTTAGATTGGGGCTCAATCTCCTTTGAGGCTCAATGCTAGACTTACTTTCACCCTCTAAATGAATCCTATGAATGCATAAATCAGGAGATATTCCCTTGATATCATCAAGAGTGTAGCCAATGGCTTTCCTGTACTTCCTCAATCCAACAAGCAATGCATTCAATTGTTCAGGTTCCAACTCAGAGTTCAAAATGACAGGGTAGGTTGAGTTTTCACCCAGAAATGCATACCTGAGGCC